TATATATATATTGGTATATATCTTGAAAAGGGACATTTCAAGAATCGCATTCTCCTAGCCGGCCTTTTGTGTCTCTGATCGTGCCCAGTTCTTATTGGTTACAATCCCCCTTTTCTTCCATTAGTTCTGTTGTGAACGAGGCCACATTACCAACTCCAGCGACACCGGACCAACCGGACACCGAAGAACTGGACCCTCCGAAACCGCTGCCTTTGGGGGCGTGTCTCTTCTGTGATCGTCAGCTTACGGCAGATATGCAAAACACTTGTGAAAGTGGGCGAAATGAATCACTAGCTCGACGTCTATTGGACCACATGTCAGATGCACACCATTTTGTCATCCCCTATCCGGAAAACTTAATCGACCCCGCTGGACTGTTAACCGAACTTGGGCGTATTGTGGGCGAAGAGCGGGCCTGTTTGGCTTGTGGGCGGCAATTTTATGGCCGCAGATTCCACTCTTCTTCCAGTCAAAAGCCCAATAGTCATGTGGCTCTGAACGCCGTTCGCCAACACATGCTCGATAAGCCTGGTCATATGCGTTTATGGTGCGGGGAGGACGATCCGTTGCAGGTCGCCCTGACTATTGCAAAAGCTGAGGAAGCGGGAGAAACTTCCCCTCCACCAGCTGCACTAGCCGGTGGCGAATTGTTCAGTCGCTTCTATGATCAGTCGGTCGTTGCCCCCTCCTTCGTCTTGGTAAGTACCTGGTCATCCGTTCACTCCTGATACTTCTAGTCGTTTCATCTGAACGCTACTTGAATGACGATCATTTTTAAACACACCGTTTCTCTGCTCAACGCGCAGGAGCGTGTTTTCAAAGACCCGTATCTTGCCTAACATTTCTGAGTGCGGAACAACTGTCCAGAACTGTTTACAGTTTATCTCCCTTACCCGTACGCTTTGATTGTTTCTGTCTGAATGTGGGCAACTTGTTAATGTTTCGGTCCTTGTGCTTCCTATAGGTTGCGTAGAATCTATGTTCGGGAAAGATGCCATAGCTGAACGATTTATTATGGTGTTATTCAGTTTTGGGACAGTCAATGTGCGCTCTCTTGGGTAAAAACAGTCCGTGAGAATGGAGCACAGGTATCAGGTATGCTCACCTTGTCCACAAGTCCCACCAACGATTTACAACAGCCTCCATGCAACAACGCTAAGTCTGTTGTGACATTACACGCCGAAATGGGACTATGGCTGGATGGCCCCAGGTAGCACGATGCTGCCGTTTATTCTCACCGTAGACAGATGACGTTTAGCGCAGTTGTACGAATCGACCGCCGTTGTCGTTTCTTGGGTCACCTACACCGAATCTGAAAAGAAGAGCGTTCAGCTGCAGCACCCTTCCGGTGCCTAACTGCCATGCCACCCGAAGGAAGCACGAGGGCTAGGATAGTGCCAGGTTGCCCAAGCCTAGACAGGGGAAGTCGAGTGGCGGAGGTCGGATTCGAACCACGAACCTTCCGGTCGGTAAATTCACGCTCTAACCACTTGGGCCATCTCGCCCCCACCGAATCTACCACTTAGGTGACCTTTACGTTCATTGATTCTTTCCAGAGTAAACACATCCGTGCACTTTGCCACTTGGGAAAATCAGGATAGTTCCATAAACGGTCATTTCCGAAGTGCTACTGCAGCCATTCGTTGGATCATGTAACGGAACAACGTGCCGATGTCGGGTTTTTTATCATCGGTTGTGGACAGGCCTGTCTTGTCTGACTGCGCAAAATCGACTGTTCACAGGAGAGCACCGCCAACTCTCGTACCCAACGCAGTACCCGCACATGTGAGGTCAAAGGGCGACACTTCTATGAAGAACAAAATGGAGCATCAAACAAAAAGGCTGAACTTTCCTGGGCCGCACGATTTTGATGAGGGAAGACTAGGGGCGAGGGATGTCTGTTGACTAAGAGTGGCAACATCACGCGCTTGCAATTGAACGGAATGTTGGTAGCTCAGGTTGTTCTCTAAGCGACCAACTTGCCCAGCTTAAGGAACAAACCAACAGCCAGAATTGAGTGCTGCTATTTGAAGCAGATCCCTTCGTGTTAATAATGCACGTTTGTTTTTTTTTACTCTTTTGAGTGGATGGTCGCGAACTTAGGTCATTTTGGCATGGGCAGTCACTCGAATTGAGTGTTTGATAAAAAGAATCAGTTACCGCTTCTACACTGCGTGAAACGTCACTTAAATTTACCCAAGTTTGATGGTTTTTGGTTGAAGCACCACGCTGATACTTTAACTCAATAATTTGACCTGTTAGGCAGCAGGTTTAGGGATATTCTTCTCGGAACCAATGACTCAACGTCACTTGAAGCCTTAGACGACTGTTATCAACGTATTGTTGCAAACGTAGGCGATGACAGCGAAATATCCGGCTTAACAGTAAGAAAGATGTGATGTCGTTAACACCACAGTGTACAACTTATAGTGGTAGGCCACAAGGCAGCTGTCTCGCGATAGTCACCGAGATGTGTGCACACCGATTTTAGGTGCTTTATCCGTTTCTTAAGAACTTTGCGCAAGACCCTTCCGATGCATTCCCAGCTGATGCGCTGCTTCACTGAGGCTAGCTAGCACTGAAACGGTCCTTGACCAATGCTGCTCTCTTGTCGTTTCTGGCGAGCTTCGAGTGAAAAGTTGACCTGTTCAAAGACTATCCCTGTCAACACTCGTTCGCTTCGATTATCTGGCTACCATATTTACAGAAACTGAGTAAGGACGCAACATAGTTGTCGGATGTTGAACCCTATCAAATTTATTAGCATAATCTCGACGTATGGGGTTTTAAATTCCATCACAGACCAAGGGTATTCAAGGAATTTCCCGAAACTGAACAGAACTGGTTTTCCTGCTGTCAGTCGAACAGAGAAGTGGAAGGTCGCCCAAGACCATTAGCGCCGTGAAGTGCTTCATACAGCTCTTTATCACCCTATTCTGTAGAGTGTGTCTACTTACAACCATGTTGGCAGATTACCGCTTCCATATTTACTATTTCTCTTGCAGCCAGATACAGAGGACGGGGTCTATGAAGTTCGCTTGCCTTCTGGAACAGTCCTGGGCCACAGAAATCTGGCCTCCGTTTATCGACAACACTTGCCACCCACACCAACCGATGTCACATTAGTTAATCAGCATGCCCTACCAAGCTCGCGTGGTACACATGTTTCAAGGGCACTGGTCCCGTCACACATTGGTCCCTTGTGCGTGCGCCCACAGTTGCATCTTCCCGTAAAGGCACGTGCAGATGAACGTCATTTCGAAGCATCTAGACGAGCTTGGGAACTATCAACGGGGATACAAGGGAACCTCGTACTTCGGGCACACTTGCGGAGACAGTACTGAGTTTTCTTACCGTGCCAACGCGCCAGTCTCCTGTTGTGATGTTGTACAAATGACCCCATCCTCGACTTCTGGTTATTGTTGGCTTCCGAGTCTGATTTCATGATTTGGACAGACGCACCAACCAGATATTTTTGTCTAATGAGAATTCCGTACCTTTTCGATACCTTGCTTTCTTCCCGAAACAGTGAGCCGACCGAGTTCACTTGATCTAATTTCAGGCACACCTAATCGTCACTGAAGTATGCGAAGCCTCGAACTTTCCGCGAGTGTCTGACATCCGAAGCGGATTGGCCCGTTGATGGGCGGATGAATGGATGTGGAACGTCGTAAGACATATCGGTGTGGATGAACAGACTAAGCCTTAGATATTGGTAATGTAATTCAGCAAGCGATCTCATACCGCCGTTTTAGTTGTAGTGTTTGACTTGTAAACCTTAACAAGCTCCTGGACGCATTCAGACCGGCGCACGGTCTCCATGTAACGGTACTTGCCCCTTTTTCCTCAAAGTGCCTAGAATAAGACTAAGGTAGGCTGATTTTCAATCGCGTGGTTTCCAGGTTAGATGTAAGTGGGTTGATGGTACTGCACTCGATCTGAAATCGCTTAGCTTATTGATAGTATGCACATAAACAACTTGGTCTCTTTTGTCTGGTGTTTTTTTCCTCACCAGCACAAAGCGCCTTCTGCGAGAAAGCAATAACGACCCTCTTCGTGCGTGCGGGTATGTTGTGTCACCTTTTCGGACTATTTACTTTGCAACTGGTACCCTGTTCTCCCTAAGGACGGGCCGTGTGACAAATCGATAAATTAATACAATATAAAAACCGGTTTATTAGCATTGATAAAGGGAACAAGAAGACCACATGCAGACACCGCAGGAAATCACACGCGCAGAGACAATCGTCAGAAAAATAACTGTACTTTACAGTCATAGCGAGCAACTCCGATTCTCTAGACTGTCTTTTCCTTGTCGTCTTTGTGATAGAGGAACACAAAACTGAACAGAATTAGCCCAACGACCATGGATATTGCACTGACGTAGTAAGGATAGGCTGCTTCGATGAAACGTTCGTATTGTGTATGTGTGAATGGTCGAACAGGGACCTGAAACAACGCAACGATAAGGTGTTACAACACAAGGGCAAATGCAGTTGTTTGGTTTAAACTAACGCGTAGAGTTGTGAATTTTCTGTGAACAGAGACTTTGGAAGGAAATGTTGAACGACAAACGTACACGACACGAGTGGTTACTTCGCACACCACCTGCGAAATACAGGCAGCCTGGGTGCGTTGTTTGGCAACTGCATTGCAAACATTTCGTCGCCAACTGAGGAGACATCCTCAGTGCGGGGTCCGGTGGCTAAACCTTCCTTTTCCGCCTGCGCTTGTACGGTTGGATAGACCGGATGTTGTATAGTATTTAGAAACTACATAAGAGGAAGAATTAAGCCAACCAACCCCACACTGATGTCTCCTCGAATGGTGACGATATGCAACATTGCTGAACACTGCTATATACACGGGAAATTTGATGCTAGCCTGAAAATCGCGGTCGCATAAGTTACCATTTGGAGTACTGCTGTGCACGAAATTGTTTGTCATCCACGGCGAACGCCTTCAACTGCACGCACATACCACCACAACCCGGAAAGACCAACATCATTGCTTAGCTCCTCGCTAGTTGCATGCCCGACTGAACTCACTGACAAGTAGTCACGCAGGAGTATGTCGCATAGGTGGACCGAGAAGGTTGTTTGTGTGTACACGGTTTCTCATTAAGTGTGCTTAGTCATCAGTCCAGGGGTGACCAGCTGACTTTCTCCGGCTGGAGTGTCCTATCTGATTCCGTTGTGTATTAGTCTTGGATTCCAGTGTGTGACATCAAGAGCCAAAGTAGGCTCTTGCTACTAGCATGCCAAATATGGGGATCATCTGGATGTCCAGTGGTGAGATGCACTAAAGTGATTGTCCGTACTGGATAAACCCTGCGTATGAGAATGAGATGTAGTGGACGGCAGGGATAAGTGAGGGGATGGGAGAACTTACCTGGACTACGCTAGTCAAGTGCGTGTATCCCAAACGGTGATAGTCGACTACAAATTTGAACACTCCATACACGTCTGGCAGTTTCAGTACTTCCGAATAGAGTCCATCTGGAAAAAGGGAAAGGGTTCAGCAAATCCTAAGAGACCACAAAATTGAACGATAAGTGTACGGCTTAGCTACATCCAGTTAATCCGGTGTCCTTGTAAAGGGGTGCAGAAACGTCATCTTTCTCGAGCACCGCAAGCTTGAATTCCCCTCTCATCTCGGATGAGACGGGAATTCAAGCGCCACTGCTTGCGTGATGCAACGGCTTGATTACTCCGGAAGTTTTGTTCAGTGAATCTCAACCAGCAGTGCCATTCAGGTAACCCAAAAGCTACGAGTTCATGGCACATGTAAGCGGTCACAGTCTTCGCACCAAACAATCGGTGAATTAATCCACGGGAAAAATTCTCTTGTAGGCACCGAGGACGTTACCGCTCCTTTCGAAATGAACAAAAGCGTTTCCTCCGAAAGCCGGGGATGCTGGATGGGCCCACACCAACATTAAGACCACAACTGGTACGTGCAGAATAAGTTGTTTCTCGCATAAAAAGGATCCAACTTAGTAGGAGATACACGTTGCAACCGTTATGCAGTGTCACAGTCTTCAGTGGGTGATTTAAGTAGTGTCCGCACATGTTATCAGGCACGTATGTAAGACAGCCTGAGCTAATGCCCCCCTGATATCTCGTTCTGAAAAGCAATGCAAACAGGCACTACTAATGTAACGGTGATACTACTGATGGGAGTAGCATGCGAGCAGTATGTTTCCTCGTAAATTCGCTCCCTTGAAAAGTGGGATCTGTTACGGAATTTGTGCAGTCGCTTTGTAGCATTTGCTTGGATTTGAGCAACAGTCAATGAATATCCAGGAAAGTTCAGGAAGACGCGTTCAAGGAGAAGATCGATATTCAGTTTTTATAAACAAGATGCACATGAGAGTTTTGCTTCCCTGTCCACTAGTCTGTAACCGGTCAGTTGGCATCTTCCGATAACTCCGCAGGGAAGGCCTTCCTCCTTTCACTAATGTACAAACTATGGCGGAGTGAGCCGTTCAATGGGAGTCATTATTTCACTATTACCAGAGAAAACCATTATTGACAACAGTACACCAGTGACACATGCCGTCACTTAACCGACATACCCACGGGGGTTGTTCACTGTGTAAGAACATCTTAGACTTAGCTATAAGATGTGTGTTCTGATAATCGTGCGGTGTTTAGGCACCTTGTGGCTGGTGCGGATGACTCATTATGATCAAGTGAGCAACTTGTTCGATACGCCACCTTTTTTGCCGACTGGCAGTCCATTCACTTCGTGTCTGCGGGCCCGATTATTTGCATGTTCAGTCAATGTACGCGACACAGAATGGCAGGAAAGTGCTGCACAGAAGCTTTTAACAATACACCACGTCAACCAACAAAATTAGAGAACAATGTGCGAGCAGGTCTGCGCACATGGTAGTATGCCGGGAAATCCGTCAACGCTAACAGAGGTTAATCGTCCCATACATATTACGCAAATGTATGTTTAAATATCCCCACATATGTGCATAAAACAGATCTATTCCGGAGGTGATCTGGGTAGAGTGCATTATGGGGGCCCCTATCTGTGAACGGTGTTATTTTCGGTTGGATACACGGCATTAATTGCACACGATACACAATATGGATACCGTGAGACCGGGGGACCCTTTGATCAGCAGGTTGTAAAAAGCCTTCTTTTGTCCCCAGTAACTGTTATCCCAAGCTACCGCGTCTTTCGATTTACTATACCGGGCGGGAGAGCAAGCCGAAGACCAACACAGAAATTCTGACACTTCGCAGTACACTGGCGATGACCCGAACCCACAATGTCAGTTAGTAGTAACAAGAATGTCATCAACATATCGCTTATAAAACAAAGATTTTTGAATTTTATTGGCATTTTTTCGTTCAGTCATTCCCATAAAGGTGTGTGCTAACGCTGGGCCTAAATACCACTCGACTTCGTACCTAAAGTTGTGCAGAGTGAAGTCAAATCTTTAATGTAGTCAACAGGGAGCCCACAACTTCACACTGTCGTAAGATGAAACCGCGAAAAAACTGTCTCATGGATAGGTACATTGGTGAATAATGAACCACGACCAACTGGAAATAACTTCCCGGAACTCATCACGATTCTATCCGCATTGTCTTCCAGTTCAAAGAAATCCTCTCTGAACAATGAGAAGATAAGCCAACAGCCAATGCGCAGCTTTGTGGCAGGTTGAATCGTCCATTGGTCTCAGATCGTCTTACATCTTTGTGTATTTTCGGGGCACCGCGCACAGGAAAAGTTGTAGTTCCAATGAGTTTCCGGTAATGATATTCCGCCTCTGTGATGTGATCACGAAGCTTCTGAATTCGCAGTTGTCTGGTGACCCGTTTCTTTACAAGCTGGCTGTTCTCCGGAGCACTATCACGTTTCAACTTCGGAGTATCGGGAAGGAGACTTGTCACTTTCCATAGGTACTCGCTTCTCGTTATATTGACCGTTATAGTAATCCTTTGTCTGGTCATTTGATTCGTTTATCTCAATCCTTTGATCGCCATTTTGGGACGCAAACAGATGATTTGGGTGCGAAGTCTTTCAGCTAGAATGAATTTGTGCACGAAATTCGTTGACATTCTTTGGTGAAAGCTTAAACTTCAGCCCAGGTGGTAATACTTCTAAATTCGGCCATTTGAATTCAGTTTGCGCGAGGCTATGGATATGTTTAGAATCACTACGTGGAAATGTGAATAAGTCGATCGAAAGTCCGATGGGGTTAATTGAAGATCGTGGTACTTTTTTAAACTCTGCCTATGCTATCCTTGTTGAAGTTTTCGAATTTAGTCCGGCAGATTAGTGAGAGCTGACCGAGAGTTCCACCAATATGCCTTTGAGTTTCCACAAATCTTGGGAATCTTTCTCGAGGGTTCTCATGGTAAGAGCTGGTTGACCTCACGTGAGTTCAGCTTAATGAGGGAACCATCTCGTTCGCGGGCATCCTATACGTCTCGAGCATTCACAATCAAGCTTAGTCCATTGTCTCAAGTCATCTCCATTAACTACACAACTGAAAAGCTGCAGAAATTGCCATCTGGAAGTCTTGCTTCCTTAGCGGATGATAACCACTCACCACAAAATCCAGTCGATTTCCCTCCACAGCACATAGCAAACAAAGCCTGCACTACCGGACACAGAGTAAGACTATTGACATCTGGTTTCGTCGTGTGCTGATGTCGAGGACGCACGTTCTTCTGGCTTTGAACAATGACAGCCGGTGTGTGTGAGGTGGAAAAGCTATGTGCACCATTTGTCTGTCATTCTGATACGTTTGCACCGGCTGAACGAGGAAACACTCAGAGCCATAGGCAAAAGAAAGCAATGGGTCGGTACAGAACACGAAACATCGGAGGAATTGACCGTTTGACCGCGGTCGGTCAGCTACAAATTACAAGGTATTTGTGGGTTGTGATCGAAGCAAATTGCTTAATCTAACAAACGGCAAACTAATCAGGTTACGTTTGAGGTGGTTAAGAACCAGCTGTTTTGGGTACCCAAAGGACAATGGTCCCGTACAGGGGGGAGTCATGGCCACCGATGACCGTGAATTCTTGGGATAACCACAGACACTACAAGCCAGGAAAAAGCGAGCTGCACAGCAAACAGGCTACGATCAAGCACCGTTCGTCGCGTCACATCCCTCGGTTGATGTTCCAAAGAAAAGTGCAGAATCCTCGCCACTACTGGTTTATAAGGTCTATAAGGTTACTTTTCATGACACTGGCAACTGTTTACATCCAACTAGATATAGTCTAGTGATGATTTAGCCGATGAGTTTGGTGACAATCGTCTGAGAACTGGTGTGGCCACACGTCCATGTATGACCACAACTGCCGCTGGACGCACTACAAACAATAACCCAACCAGGATGTGTAATGGCAATTTATGGTCGACAGGAACAACGGTGTTGACCGAGTGAAGAGTGCAGGTCAGTACGGTTCTACTTTGAGGTGAATGGGCAACATCCAAACCACGAACATGATCGTGTACACGTTAGAATTCTCAATGAGGTGATTCACTCAAGGACGGAAGTCAAAAAGTCAATCTTTTGAGATTCTCACAGGATGTGTCATCGACTAAGAATGATGGAAAGATGAATTTGAGGCACGACTTCTCTTAAAAAGTAACACGCCAAAAGGGGATTTGGAGCTTGAGGATCAACAAAGTCCGACTTACCCTTGTGCTTCATTGTGCGGCGGATAAACGGATCGATTCGAACAAATTCCAGCTGCACATCATCTGCGTCGTAAGGAACCCACTGATTCTTTTCATTCTTTGTCTCAATCTTGATGGCATAATAGACATTGTCCATGATCGTGTATTGATTCGGGGCGATAGCTTCACCTACACGATGATGCTCAACCGAGACCACACGGAGTTGACCGCTTTCACCAAACAACCAACGTAACAGATTTGCCATCAACTCCTGGTTGCCGGTACCGGGATATCTGCACACAATACATGAAGTGCAAGTAATCATTCGTTAGTTAACCTTCGCCCAGTTGCTCAACAACTCTACATTAGCTTAACATCGGTAGTGCGCTATCGCAAATACACAGAATTATCTCAATCAGCACGTGGACAAAACTAGAATGAAAGGCACCGTAAGTTGTCACCTAAAGCAGTGAAATCAGCGAACCGATAGAAACTTCGGCAGACTCACCACCTTAACCATCTCCCCACCAGGTGAGGTTACGGGTTCTCTACTTGAGTGGATACAAGAATATTGCAAGCATCAAAAAATCGCTTAATCAAGTTGGCCAGTGAATTACATCTGAAAATCGTGCAATTTATCTGTGCAGGGTTTCATGCGAAAGTTTGCTGACATTTGGGACCGTCCTCCCCTGAAGTTGCACGAATTCGTGTAACAAAAGAGCTCTAAGTAAACAGACTGTATTTACACAACTAACGTTTCGGCAGTGTTTTCACCATAGAGGTGAAAGGCACAATGGAAAATAAAATTAACGGAACGCACTTTTTCCCAGAAAGAGCTTCCTCCACGGTTGCAGTGAAAAATTCATTGGACAAAAAGTCTAACGAACCCGTGAACACTGCTCGGGCGTTATTTCTCGCTTGCAACGCCACAATGAGTTGTGTGTTTGTGCCAACCGTGTTGGGATAGTCAGTCACCGGCTTGTTCAAGTTGTAACTGTAAGAAGTTCGGTCTGCGTGCAGGATACCGATTAATAAAGGATTGAATGGATCGGCTGCAATTCTAAAAATGGAAGGTAACAGTTGTTGATTCCTCCGTAGCCAGAATTACCCAACGCCTCGGTATAAGAAAGGCAACTTTTTCTCGCTTTCACCGGTGATCACTGGAACCTTCAGCTGGTTGTCATGCGGGACAACTAAATAAGTATGCTGAAAGGTTGCGAAGACATTAAAAATAATAATATCGACCGTAAGTACCGAGCTGTCATCCTTGATATCGTAATGGTGATGATCAATCACAGCCGTGTGTTCCTCATCAAATTCGATACCACACTCACCACCCAACTCTCGTATAGGGTCGCCAATTTCGGAACTAGCCGCAACAAAAATATTGCCACCGTCGTCCAAAAATTTCACAAGTTCGTTGACGTTTATGGATCCACCGAATTCTGTCAAGCAGGATGTTAGGGTTCCAGTTTTACTCACCTGAAACTGACGGCGCCAGGATTATAACATGCTTATAAATATAGTCCCCGTACTTCGTTAGCGTAAGACCAGCTTCGTCAGCTACGCGAACCGTCGTGGTATATCCCCGATCTGTTTAACAAAACCGATTAAGCAGCATGAAACAAAATTACCTGTTAGGAGTTTAAGAAACATAGAATGTGTTTCTTTGATCCAGATATTTTCGACTAGCACGAGCACGTTTTTCGACACATCAGTGTCTTCTTCACCCATCGCCACGACGACCAAAGCAATCAGGGGAATAAGTCCTAAACGCATTTCAAGTGGGCGCATACGTATGCAATTGTTCGGGTTCTTCACTCGGGCTGAAAATGAAATTAGATACAGGGAGGAGCGATGAAAATGGGATTGTTAAAACTGAGATTGGACAGTTAGGTTTGCTATTCCAGTACCATGCCAGCTTCGTCGTGTATGGCCTTGGCCACATCCATCATGCAAGCGGAAGGACCAGAGTGAACTGAGAATTTGGAAGCTATCAGTCTAGATAATGGAAGTTATGTCCTAAGCAAGATAGCTTTTCTCGGTATATAGCTCCAGGGTTACTGCACGAGTTCTCCATCAAAACAGCCGTGAGTCGCATTTATCCGGCGTTCTGATTTCCCTAGGTTTGAAACTCTCCCAGGGCATTCGCTCACAGATATCGAGCACGTAGACGACAAAGCTCTTCTTGGATCTGACGTCACTGCAGTTCACACAACAATAAGTAAGCTAGATGATTTTGCCTCATGGTATAACGGACGTTTCACACCTACAAGGTGTAAAGTGCTAATGCAAGACTGGGTGGGCTCCAATTCCGATGCTTGCGGATGAGCCGATTGAGGTAGTAGACAAATTCGTCCGCCTGCTCTGCCGTATCAGTCCCAGTGGTCTCGCGAAAGATATTTCCATCTGGATTGAGAAGGCCAGAGCAGTTTCTGTTAAACTGCATTATCTGTGGCGTGGCGAGTCGATGATGCTGGACTGCGCTCTATATTTTATATAGGTCAAAAACTTGGACAGTGTGCTGAGGACGTCAAGAGACCTTCAGTGTTTGACAATCGATGTCTTCGGAGCATTGACTGAGTCTGGAGGGAACACTGGATCAGTAATGGTGAGATACGTCAGATGGTTTTCGGAAATAACTAGCCCACAACAGATGAACTGACCACACTCCATAGGCTGCGGCGGCTTGGTCACGTGCACTACATGCCAGTTGACCGAATTCCTCGAAGAGCCCTTTTCGCACAGCTACGCAATGAGTGAAAGTGAGCCATGATAGATCAAAATATGGGTTAGCAGCAAAATATCAAAATCAATGCGTTGGTCATTGCCCTCTCCCTGGAGGGAGACTCCGAGAGAGACACGCCAATGGTTAAAGACATTGCCAGTCGCGTCCTCAATGCTTTCAACGCATAGCTCCCCGTCCGATCTCCCCAATGAAAAGTCCACTGACACCCGTGTATTTACGCAGCAATTGTATCAGCTACTGTCTCCAACGCGCGACTACCTACAGCATCCCCACAAGTAATCGGCGAACGAAAGTGTGGCAACAAGAACCACTGTACGGCAATTACGCGGCTTTTACAACGGTGTTGATGCTAATTATGATGATGCAAGGCTTATATCTCTAGGGGAAACGTCCAAGAGCGGGGTACCAACACCTTCCAGAACCATTGTGGAAAACACCATCAGCTGAATTGTACCAGTGTCCATTGCAAAAAGCACCCGAGACAACTCCAGTACACCACGACATGGAACTAGCTAGGTAGTCCAGTTAGGAAGTGACAGCAGGCTCGTCACTAGCTACGTGCCATGTCGTATAGGGTTCTCAACCACGCGGAACACACCCAAGAAGGCCCGCAAATCACACAGCACTCAGCTTGAAAACACCCGTTTTGTCAGCCGGTGTTTCTGACATTGCTTGGAAATTCTCTGCCATCCGCTGAAGCCACAGGAAACGAAATGCCTCGGGCCATTCGCTTACACACAGTGAGTGCACGAACAATAGTGCTGCCTTCAATCGCTCTTTCAAAGCAATCAGTCTCAAGTAAACTAACTAATTCAGCCGCACGTCCCGGAATGTGTCACACATGCAAAGCATTAGGTGCCACCACAAGACTGAGTGAGAGCAAACCCAAACCCCGTGCTCGTAAACAAGCCAATCGACGTGGTGGACAAGTTTAGTTGCATGCGCTGTTGTATAGGTTTCGGCTGACTAGCCAAGACGAGATNGCATCAGGAATGCCAGGACAGATTTTGCCGACCTCCGACACCCATGGTTTTAGCGTGACCTCATCAAGTGTAGAGCATACGCTGCTACAGTGCAGTTTTTACTGCTTCATGGACCAGCGTGGTCTTTAGTTGCTTGGATTCATGAAAACCACCAGTTTGATCATCGGTGTCTTTAAAGCATTGGTCAGGCCTGGTGGGAACATTGGATTAGTAATGCTGAATCATGGGACGGACTAGCCACTCATGCATTACAGGTGGACACAGACAGTGTGCATCTCGTGAGACCGTCTACCTCACATTCGCTTTGCCCGACCCGTGCAGATTTGGAATAACCGTGAGGCGGACGGCCTGTGAACTGAAAATGAAATGTGAAATCACTGACCAGTACACTCAGCTGGGTGGAAAACTAACATCTCCTTGGATGGGGATATGGAATTCAACACATCAGTGGTTAGTAGCACTGGCACACATGGTTCCACCACTCAGTCAGTGGCGTCCTGTACCAAAGCCATCGCGCAGCTGCGATTTCCCGTTTCTGAAAACAACTAAAATACATCAATAACTCACTGGTCGCCATTGTCTCCAATACATGTCTGTATCTTCTACGTTCTCTCATTTCCGATGACCACATCCGTACCAGCAAGAATCAACGTACTCTTGGTACATGTTTTATAGCTGGTAAGCAAAACTACAACTAGTTTGTTGGTGAATAAGAACACTAAGCGCAAAGAGCCTCTATCCTACTTTTCGTCACTGGATGGGTAACAGCCCGTAGGACACTAAACGTAATGTCGAAATTCATACCATGTTTTGGGTACGCGTCTTACATTTTAAAAGTGCAGAGTATTACTTCAGGGTTTCCAAGCCCCTTATGTCCCGATAACATTTCATAATGAAGAGCTTGGGATCTGTATAAACCACGACTGCACTGTGACGGACAGTCGGTACACTCATCAGCATAAGAAACATTTGTGGCGACCCAAACGAACTGCACAGAAACTGGAGGCATGTGTATACAGGGCATCTGTGAGAACAGTCTTCCATTATAACTGCAGTCTGAACACTTCGAACGCCTTCAAAAGCTTCGTCGTCGCCTTTCTCGAAGTATAGCACGAGTTAACTTCCAAAAGCGTGTACGCAAAAAGTACACTACAGTAAAGGAACAAACTCAGTAGATCAGCAAACAAAACTTATTAAGCTGAGACTGAGAGTGCGCGAAATTACTGACCGGAAGATCCGCGGTTTGAACCTATCCTCAGCATCTCGAATGCGCCTATCCAGGCTTGGGTAGCTTGGCAGTACTTCAACTCTCGTAACTCTTCTATGTATCACGGCAGCTAGGCGTCGAAAGGGTGCTACAGCTAGACGACTGATTGAATTGGGGCTGTGTTTGGTATTTGTATCGTCATGCTCAGCCCAAATCAAAGGCATTCGTTCGGTTGTAGTCACCTTTCGGCCCGTAGCTGCCATGCAATCCGAAGGAGGTACGAGAGCTGAAATTTTACCAAGTTACTCAAATCCACAGAGAAATCTGTAAATCCGTGGTTTAAAACCACGGAACTTCCGATTCGGAGCTTCACGCCTGAACCCGTGATGGCGAGAAATACAAGGACCGGCGGCGCACTATCGGCTGCAGTATATATGCGTGCTGCAAACTTTTCACTTCCTTTTGAATAGGGTCTTGCAAGTGGTTATATACCCTACAGAGTACCCTGATCAATCCAATAGACGATTGGGGACAAGATGGCTCGATGGTTAGATCACAAATTTACTGAAGTAGGTCCGTGGCTTGAATCCGACCTCTGCATCTCGACTTCTCCTGTCAAGGCTTCGAGAACCTGACAGTATCCCAACCCTTGTACTTCCTTCGGGTGGCATGGCAGCTTGGTACCTGAAGAGTATTACAGCTGAACGATGCCAGAGAGAACAGCGCGTCCGCTTTCTCACCAGATTGCCTGGTTGACTCTCACAAAGGATGTTGGGTCAATCACCCCATGAGTGCCTTACTTTTTATTATGCATTGATGTGCTTTCTTCGTCGCTGTTCTAAACTGTATGCATCTTGTTCTTGGTCGTTCGCCCTAAGGGTAGTAGAGTCGTTCAGCTGTAAAACCGTTTCGGTGCCCATCTGCCATGCCACCCAAGGGAAGCGCCAGGGCTGAAATACAGCCAAGTTGTCCAAGCTAGACAGGGGAGTCGTTCAGCTGTAAAACCGTTTCGGTGCCCATCTGCCATGCCACCCAAGGGAAGCGCCAGGGCTGAAATACAGCCAAGTTGTCCAAGTCTAGACAGGGGTAGTCGGAAGGCAGAGGTCGGGTTCGAACCACGGATCTTCTGGTCGGTATATCCGCGCTCTAAACCACTGAGCCACATCGCCCTAAGGGTATGGGGCATCTTTCACATACCCTAGTTGTTATGTAAGCCCAACCAACATCTAACAAAAGCTTTGTTGACAACCCTGAAGGCGCGTAGGGAGCAGGGCATGACTTGGCGAAGCAAAACGACAGTTATCGTCAAGTTGAATGTTGTAGGTTCTTCTAGCCTCCGGGCTGGGATCCGCGTGGTTCCCCCTTCAAATGGACGCGTCACGTAACCGGGCCAAGTGATAAATATAATGTCACCTAACTAGTGTTTGTCGTTGTACGTCTGATGAGGTACCCGAAGGACGTTGCGTCTAACTTACTAATGACGTCTTACCTCAATACGAGGCTCACATGCGACTACCGCGTTGCTTTCGATGAGTATAGGTAGCTTATTCTTGATCGCGCTTCACGGGGATATAGGACCCTCCCACTTTTTACCATGGATTCCTGCAGTCACATGAAATACAAGTGATAGTATTTATTAATTATTTGTTGTTGTGGACGATGGTTATTATGAAACAGAGATCGTCCGCATTCTTTGAAGGAAGCTGGATACAAGCCGGGTGGGTCTTCGTAACATTTTTTCTTCCAACGGAAACTCAAAGCTCTTTTTCAATTCATCCACACACCTTGCAAGAGTCCAGTTAAACTGCTCTTCAGAGTGCTCGACCCATCTTTCTAAAAGACAACATTGCGAATGACTTACCCAACTTTTCATTTATTATTATCTTTTCAACCCACTGTTTCGCTAATCGATTGGACCAGTACGGTATGGGTATTCGAAAATGCCTCCATCTCCCAAGCTTTAATTGTCCACTAGAGCTCCCGGGCTTTCCCTAGACTACACGACAGTTTGCGATAGAAGCACAAGACATCCGAAGAACAAAGTGCGAGAAATCTGAGTTCGTCCCGCTCCTCTCAACACGCATGACTGAGTCATCATAGCCATCAAAGACAGTAAAATTATATCTAAAGCCTTAGAGTGAAAAGAAAAAGAGATAGGGGATGGACCCGGTGTTGGCCTATCACAAGCATCTCCAAGTGTGTATACCACGCGCTGAATTAGAAAATATGGAAAGACGCCTATCCTGCAAGGTTTTCAGCTACGGGAGGGGGAGTCACGGGGACCCAGTCCTCGAATGCGGACGCACCAACAACACCTAAAATCTTCGTAATTTTTTCCACGTAATTCTCTCAGGCCATATGTTGCCCACTTCGCAGTTCACGCCATTCTGAAAGAGACACGCAGAACAACACCTTTCTTGCAAGACGCCGTTTAGGCATGCGCAGTACATGGCCGAGCCGTAGCAATAAAAGCGCTGGATGTTTTCACCCACTGAATTACCTGCTGCACAGCCAAATACCCGTTTTCTAATCACCCCGTTACGAGTTTCTGTACACACGATATCAGCAATGCTTCCGAGAAATCGTCGGTCGAAAACCTGGAGACGCCTCACATCAACCGTCCATAAAGGCCGTCTCACAACCATACAATAATACAGCGCTTACTGTAAGCTCGTACACGCGACCCGCGAGACCAACCGATATACCATCTTGATGCCACAAGTGACACAAATTAGCACACGTGACCCGGGTTTCTGATACTGGTACGCTGAATTCATCAGATACACTTCTGTCAGAGCTGATGGAACTACCGAGTTATGTGAGATTCTTCGCAACCTCTGGTGCTTCTCTTTGAATTCCAAGTAGTAAGCTTAGGACTGGAAGAGGAGCCGGTCCTCATGGATCCGTTTGATTTCCCAGTGGCTCAGTTATGTGTGCGTTCTGCGCAAATTTAGTGATGGAACTACCGAGTTATGTGAGATTCTCCGCAATCTCTGGTGCTTCTCTTTGAAGAGGAGCCGGTCCTCATGGATTCGTTTGATTTCCCAGTGGCTCAGTTGTGTGCGTTCTGCGCAAATTAAAAAAGCGCGATGAAAACAGTAGCGGAGGTGCATCGTCGGAGTTCAAGCAGATATTCCAGAAGCAGCATGCAGTGATCGACCCTCGCCACCGGTAACCGGTGGCAATGTGGTCTATTTGAATTTGGAGCTGAGTCGATGATGGGCACAGCGTTGTTAAGCGATTCCCACTGCTCCGAAATTAGCATCGCAAGGGAGAAGCCTATAGTTGGCACAAAACTGAGACAGGAGATCTCTGATGTCTGTGTTTCGTGTTCAACCCTAGAGGGCTACTCAATCGGACCTGGGCGGCTCTTAATCTAACTGCCTGAGCATTCATATCACTAATAACCATAACGACGTCTGCACTTTCAACCATTTGCGAAAGAGCACCTAGACCGCCATCGAAAACGCCTTTGGCAGATTTGGAGCTATAGTCATTCGAGACATGATCGGACGGAATACGAAGGGAATGGTGGATCTCACTCTCTCGAAATTCTTTCAGACGTTGATAGACGAGGAGCCCAAAAGCGACTAGCAACGCGTAGCCGCACAAGTAGAGACGCTTCGGACTGACCGCTCAACACAGTACCCAACCCAGCATATCCAGCCACAGCGGCCTCTGCATCACCAGGGTTGCGCAGCCAGAAACCGGAAGAGAGCGAGGGAGCAGTCGATCCAGTTGCAGTACCTGCGTCCTGTAGCTTTGTTTCTAACAGACAGCATACATCAATGCAGATACATTCACTAAGCTGGTTCATCCTCACGCAGACATCCGGAGTAAATTGAAAGTATACTTACTTTTAACTTACACCCATAGGCTGGTTTGGTGTTTGTATGCGCATGCAAGGCGGTTCAGACGGCATCAGCTTACAGTGGGAGTAGCGTAGGATGGTGTTACAGAAGAATCAAGTAACGATTAAAAACAGGACAGGGATGACGCTAATACCACAAACTCACCGGGAATTTATCGGTGTTTCTTCGCCTACAAACTGCACCCGTGCAATAAATTCCTCATTTTCGAATGTATAGTTATACACCATCGTTATGTGGCGCTTCAGTTATCCTTCAATTGTGTCAACAACACCGGCATCACAAACTGTGTAATACGCCGGGAATTATATTTAAAAAACGTGACAAATTAGGCAGAGATGTAGTGCAAACGAAACAAAACACTTAAAGAAGCTGTTGCAACGCACAAACCAAAGTGAGGTTGCACTTGTTATTAAAATCCTACGGGGGTTTCATGAACTTCTCACGGTCGCGAAAATTAACAACCGAAAAATTGCGATAATGTTGATATTCGTGTGGGGTGAATAAACACACCGAAATCACACTAGATGAGCAATTAAAATACCGCTGCAAACGTGTACTGGTTTAAAGTTTTCTGATAGGTCAAGGTTTGGATGGCGTTCAGTATTCGCACAATGGAATTGATTTCTCGAAATTTACGACACTTTTCGGGTTGCCATTTGGTAGTGTAGATTGCATGAGCATAATTACCTTAATGGTGATTGGTTCAGGTGAGGGAATCTCCAAGATCATCAATCGCCAGTACCCGTGGGCACGTTGCCTAATGAAATAAGATATCGTAAATTGAGCGCAAGGACGAAACGCCTACAGTGGAGGGAACCTGTAAATGGTTCAGCGGAATGATATTAAATTTTTCCCAGTTAATGTGTGCTCTCCGAGCTTGAAAGTCTTCTTGCCATGCCCCCGCCGTGTGTTTGTTGGGTCAACGGTGAAAAAACTGTTGGCCGAGGTTTGTTCAAACAGGACATAAGTAAGAATTAGGTCCCCTCGGAGGCGACGATACTCGAGGAAAAGGAGATCATGCATCGCCAGACGGGTATCGTAGTCCACTGATTTGAGGTCGGCAACTATTTCCGCAGCGGTTCGCTGGACCTTCCCTTGACTGCGGCACCACGCGTCCGGTCTCCCAAAATTTTCCCAGGATCACAGGCATATCAAGTGCTACAATAAAACCCAACTTTGAGGTTCCTACCCAACTGAGCTGGTTGAAAACTCCGGCGGTAGTTGTATACGCCCTTTGTGATAAGAATATTATCGAATTTATCGGTCAAGAACTGCCACACATGACGGAGTTCCATACTCCAGCATGGCCTCAAATCTGCCAGACTCCTCTTCGGTTAGCTGTGGATTTACTGCAAGCCAATTGCACAAAAAAATGGGAGAACATCTGGTTGTATTCGAGATAATAATAAGTGACTGCGAGATGTTTCTCCGGCATCATTAGACATAGACGCACTAGAGAGTGTTAATTTCGCGTACTGTTCGCTAATAGAAAATACGCCCAGTTTATTAGCTTCTTTGGTTTCCTTGACTTTCGCACCGTCGGTGCTTCGAGTACTGGATGAACGCACAAATATCGCACCGTTACATTCATGTATTATTAGCTTCTTTGGTTTCCTTGACTTTCGCACCGTCGGTGCTTCGAGTACTGGATGAACGCACAAATATCGCACCGTTATCATTCATGTATCCATTTTAATCTATCTCGAAAGCCATGAAAGATGACTGGGTATAGTCCCAGTTTCTCAACAAACATGCGTTAAGCCAATGTTGAGGCCATGGCACACCAAGTTCAAAGTCAGCTGCGCGGAAAATTTAGAAGAGAGGTTAGGTGAAACAAATCGCGGCAACATGGAAGCTAATTGCGGTGAGTTTTCGTTCGAGCACACAGGTAACAAAACGCAACAATTTCGCGTAAAACACTTCACTCCATTGAGAAAGGCTTTGTAAATACGAGTGTTGTTCAAGCGAAAGCGAATCGGTGATTGTCCGTGACTTTAAAATTTCGCTCGTTTAAGCAAAATGCTATGAGTGACACACCACCGAAAGATCCAAACGAGTTGAACTTATTCCCTATTCGAAAGCCTATATTTTGGGTGAAATTATTCAGGCGAGCATCCGGTGGGCCTCGCTCTCAGCGCCGACGCTTGGACACACACCCAACATTCCTCTGAAGCTGTAGGGTGAACAGAGGAGTCTTAACATAAATTTTCAGCATTGGCGGTTTATTATTTGAACCCTGAAAATCCTCCCAGACGGAAATGGTTTAATCATACTCGAGGTCCATCACGGCCGCGGAATTAATTTTTACTGGCTGTCAGTGGCTTTGCATGTTGTCTCCGTGAGGCGGTATGGAATTATGTAGAAAAGCTGGCTTCTTCTCGGGTTCCTTTCTTTATTGGGTTTGGAATTGATCTCAAAGCTACATGAACGAATATACTGCCCTCTATGTTGGCGCAAAGTCAAAATTAGCACCCATTCGCGAACTGCATAGGAATAGTTGTCTACGGTTGTGGCAGGTGTCTGTCCACTCAAACCCTAGGAATTCATCATAGCTAGTAGGTTTTTCATTTGAACTATGGTCAGCGCATGCTATGTCGGATGCGTGGCAAGGCCATATATTCACTGTGATGGTTAACTCTTGATGCTCTCATTGGAAGAATTAATGGGCTTCTGAGCATAACAGGTAGGAAATGCAATAGGATGTCCATTGCTTCTAAGATCTAGTAAAAATTCGACGGATTAATACGGTTTTGTGTAACCTTCGGCCTAGAAGTATTAGCGTGTGTTGAACTGTGGGCACGTAGCAAGACTGTGAATGCCAGTCGTGTGCCGTAAAAGCGTCGCCGTTGCTGGACAGCTTCGTACACAAAAATCTTGGGGAATCAGTTGAGTTTGCTATTGTAGCGCTAGAGGAGCATGTATAATTGATATTCTTTAGCTCATCGAGGAAGGTTCAGTGCTGTTATTCGAACGACGCAACAAAACGACTGTGTCCACATTGGGGAGAGCATTATAGTGTGAGTTAGACTGTGGCCAAAAATAGGTGGCAAACAATAGGGGTCACTGAATTTAGGTGACATTGCCCGATTTCCAAAACGGTAGTCGAAATTCAGTTCTATGCGAATGGATGTGTGCATATCTGATTAGGATGGACCTGCATTATCTAAATTGTGTGCCACTGACGTGGCTCGGTGCGTGCGAGGACAAGAGTTCAAAGGAAAACATGAGATGTCTGGCAGCTCTTCATTTTTCTACGGTGTGGTGGCCTCAGGGTGGCGCAGTTACAGCTCAGAAAAAACCATGGAGGCTTTTCAAAGCAAGTTGCATCAAGGAATACGCACCACATATATTTACTGATTTTGTTAGCATTTTACGCTCTGCCATCAAACGATACATGAGACGACCGGGCCAAGCTCAGGCCAAACGGCACAGGCGTCCGACAGAAGTTGCTTTCATTTTAGGTTGCCTTTTCCTCCATTGCAGAAGATAGCGTGTAAGGTTCAACAAGGGGTAGGAATGTATTTGAAGAAATGGCATCCAATTGAATTGAAGGAGGTTGACCACGAGACCTTTCGCGTCTTCGAATAGGGTAGGCACGGAAGGGTTGGATATGGTACGCAAAGATTTCGCGGATATGAACACAATATTCTCTCTGTTTTCTTAGACTTCTGCATGGATGAGGGTATACAGAAAACTCTCTAAAAGCTTCCGTGCATGCAGCGGTGTCCATCACTGATACACATTCTCCATTCTCGTTTAGTTTCGTGGTCGATGAGGCAATGGGACGAACGCTGAAATGTCTCCAAACCCCTGATGTTAAAATAGCCACTGACGGAGAAATTTTCGATCCGGAATATGTGGACGAGACCGTTTCCATCTTCAAAATGGGAATAGGCAGGTTTTTTTCGATTAATTGAACGGAGTCATTTCTCTTTCGGTATGTGCATAGGTCGTGCTCCTAAACATGCGGTCACTGTAAATGCCTCTTACAACCTAGAGAGTGTCACGTGTAACTGCGGAGCAGTTTCCCCATTTCGACCTGCTTAATGATGTGTATTCAGTGATACCGCGGAAGACGTACACGTACCGTAATTGATTATCCATTTTCCTTTCAGGTAGTTGAAGGTGGATTTTGGAAAGAAGAACTGGATTGACTACACATTTTGTGCTGATGCAACCAATAGATAGGAGCATAATTCGCCAGTGCGGTTGTGATTTTCCAGGCATGAGCTTGGTAGGCGGACGAAATGTAGGGCATGTAGGACCGCCAATGGCTGTTGGATTAGGTTCTGTTGTACAGCGATGGTCTCATAATCAGCTGTGTGCATGGGTATGGTTCATTATGTAGCCAAGGTGAGGGAAAACGCAAACTCGTATAAGCACGGTGGGCCGCCGCTTGTCATCGGAGCAAGTTACCGCCTCGCTACCAGTCACACATCGACATGGGCCTAGCAGTCACGGTGAATAGCCGAGATGTGCGAGAACGCGAAGAGCTATGAGTATGAAGAGTCACTGATGGACGTTGAACAACCTAGAGGTGTTGGATTCCTAAAAACAACGAAGAACACAAAAAATATGCTTACGTGCGATTTCATGACCTACCTCAGCACAACGCATTTTTCTGCAAAACCCCTGCGGGTGAATTAAAAACTTTAACGTCAAAATGTTGCACTTCTTTGCATATATGCTCAGACTGAAAACCCCCTCATCTGTCGTCATTGTTTGCGAGTTGTTTTAATCGATCTCTTTTGAAAATTATTGGCACACATTCGGCTTTGAACTTCGTCTACTATGGCTTCGGAAGTGGCTTTCGTTGAGAAATTTGTGGGTGTATCGTTTTCATCCTTCAGACATTTGAGAAGACCTTAAATGAATACATGAAGGATAACTTTGTGATATTTGTGCAGCGTAAATGCGTGCGGCAAGGGTCGTGTTCGGCTGTGACGTAATGCTTTGCTACTTTCATGTCCGCGAAGCCATCCGGAAGCACGTATGTATCATTTAATATCCATGTATCTTTGGTCATAGACACAATCTCCGAACAGCATGGCTCGCCAGGACAATGCTGTACAGTAGGCTTTATGTTCATCGTATTACAAGCACACAGATTCCGACAAGATCTACAGCTTCCGCGCTAAACCCATCCCCGATTTCTCTCCTGTCTTACGGCTGGCTGGTTGTACATCACCCGAAAATGGGCCATACACGCACAGTCCGGAATGGTTCATTTCGGTAATGTGACCAAAAACCGGCTGGAGAATGCAAACGGGCGCCTTAAAGATCGAGGGCACCACTCCGACACGTTGGAGTATGTAATTCAAAAGGTGTTTCGACACGCCGGGTGGCTCATGCGGGGATTCGAGATGCATACGTCTTTCGATTGCGACAGGCGGCAAATCCTGGTGTGTGACGCCTATGTTCTAAACGTAGTCTGTCGAATGACGACATATGCATGCTTGCTCTCAGGCGATGTGGCTCCCCTGCGTTCACCTGTTCTCTGTATTTCGAGATCAGTCCGTTCCGAGCAGTAAGAACTATCTATCGTTGACTTTTTCTTAGCTTGCTTTCCAATCCATCAACGATAGCTGTCGGATTACAACCTACCGGGAAAAGGTGTACCCCTTACACTTGTTCCCAAACCACAGCCGACAGCTTTCGACGGTCTTCGTAAACAACTGAATCGGGTGACGGATAAGCTTCAGAGGCTGGAACCCAGGAGGGCCACCGCC